ATAAGGAGGTAGGGAGTAAAGAGAAAGAAGAAAAGGGAAAAAAATCCAATGAAATAGAGAGTGATGGAAAGAATGGAAAACTCAGGTACGAACAAGGAGAAACATACCCAAGACCCATAAAGGACTCAAATGCCTGTACAAGAGCCTCAAAATTTAGGGAACAAACAGGTGAACCTGATGTACTAGTGCATGAAAGTAAAGATAGTATAGTTGCCATTATTGAAACATGGTGGGATGAAACTCATGACTGGAATGTACTGATAGGATACAAACTATTCAAATGAAAGAAACCTAATAAAAGAGGAGGTGGAGTTGCCTTATATATAAAAGATCTCTACAGAAATCCACAAAACCAAGGATCAAAACCTCCTAGAATTCATATGGATCGATATAAAGGAAAAAAGAATGACATTGCTATATGCGTATACTACAGGGAACCCAAGAAGGAATAGATGCTTTTTGCTAAACAATTAACAAATGTATGTAGAAAATATACCACAATAGTAATGGGAGACTTTAACTACCCTGATTTCAACTGGGAGAAAAATTCTGAAGCAAATGGGAGATCTAACAGATTCCTAACCAACCTAGCTGACAATTTTGTCATCCAAAAGGTAGAGGAGAGAATTAGAGGAAAAGCTATCTTGGACCTAATTCTTACTAATAGAGAAGAAGTGATAGAGAAAGTTGAACTTGCCAGAATTTTAAGTGAGAGTGAACACGTCATATTGGAATTCAATATAATGCAAACACAAGCAATAGAACATAATCAAGACAGCGTCTTAAACTTTCAAAGAGCTATTTTAACAAACTCAGAGAGAGCGCAAGAAAAATTCCATGAATGAAAATCCTAAAGCAATCATATATTAAGAGATTCATTAATGTATACATGGCAGGAAACTAAAAGTAAACACTATATGAAAGTTCCTGGATGGTTATCCACAATGGAGGCGATGATACACCCCAACATCTTAGAAATTCGAAAAATGGTAAGATACTATGAAATTTTGGATTCTCAAGGAACATTAAAAACACGAGAGGAACTCAGAGATCAAGGGATACAGATAGATTGGTGACCCTATATTCAGATAAAAACAAGATATAAAAAGGATCAAAGAGCAAGGAGGAATTGAATTAAAACCAAATCAGTTGGATAAAACTTTTAGAAGCCACGGAGGAAAAATTGATTTCAAAAATTTACAAATATCTTTTGGAATTTGATCTAGCAGAGGAATTAGTAAAAGGATAAATGATAGCATGGGCAAGAAATATTGGGCATAATTTAGAATTGGAGGACTGGGAAAAAGTGTGGGAAAATAACTATATTATAACAAAGTCAGTGGTTTATAAAGAGAATCAATACAAAATTTGGTATAGATGGTATCTGGCCCCTTTGAGATTACCAAAAATGTATTCAAATTTAAATCCAATCTATTGGAAGTGCAAACAGGCACAGGGTACTTTCTTCCACTTCTGGTGGCTTTGCCCAAAAATTAGGAAGTATTGGGGAAAAGTAAGAATTTGGCTAATAGAAATAACATCGGAAAAAATAGAACTTAAACCAGAGATTTTCCTATTAGGGATGATTAAAAAAAAACTATAGGAAAGAAATAAAGTATTTAATATTACACATAGTCACTGCAGCCAGATTGGCGCTTGTCCAATATTGGAAAACTGACCAACTGCCAACAGATCAATTGATAATCCCAAAAATCTATAATTGCGCGGAAATGGACAAACTAACATTTGAAATGAAGGACAAGGTAGACTCAAAATGTTATATAGCATGGAATAGGTGGTATGATTGGATAACTCGCAGAAATGAGAGTAAATGAAAAATTTTGTATGATAATAATAATTAACAAATATGCACCATTAATAAGATAATGGACGTGTGACCAAAGTCCCTTTTTCTTTTTATGTATTGTCATTTGTATTAATATATATGTATCTTGTATATACATAGTATAGTATTTTACTTTTATATGTTTAATAAAGTTTTGTTTTTAAAACAAAAAACAAAAAAACATCCTAAAGGAGAAAACAACTTAAGAAGCATGGGAAACTGAAAAATATGATCATAAAAGCCCAGTCCAGTACAATACCACTGAAACATAAACACAAGAAATCCAAGGAGAAACCAGCCTGGTTGCACAATGATCTCTCTGATAAACTGAAAACAAAAAGGACAAGTATAAAAAATGCAAAGAGAATGGAATGGAAACAGAATATCAGCAGACAGCTTAAAACTGCAAAGATGAACTCAAAAGAGCAAATGCTCAAAATGAACAAAGACTTGCAATAAAAGTCAAAGATAATTTTTAAAATGTTTCTTTCAACATATAAATAACAAGAAAATAGTAGGTCCACTTAAAAGAAAAGATGGCAAGGAAGTAAGAAGCAGCAGAAAGAAAGCAGAACTATTTAACTCATTCTTTGCATCAGTCTTCACGCAAAAAGAAACTCTACTCGAATCTACTAAAAACATAACTGTAAAAGACAGACTAGAAACACAAATTAAAATAAGCAAGAAAATGATTAGGGAACACCTATCTGGTCTTGAGGAATATAAATCACTTGGACCTGACAGATTACATCCCAGAGTTCCAAAAGAGGTAGCAGATGTTATCTCAGAACCATTGTACCATATTTTTCAAAAATCCTGGAACATCAGGGAAGTACCAAAAGATTGGAAATGAGTTAGGGGGGAAGGGGGGGAGAGAAAAAAACCAGACCCACAAAATTGCAGACCAATCAGCTTAACATCATCAGCTGGGAAGATACTAGAAAAGATAATAATAATAAAAAAAAAACAGATCTGTGAACATCTAGAAACAAATAAATTATAACTAAAAGCCAACATTAGCTTTTAGTTATAATTTAACAGCTGGCGTAGCTCTTTTAATTGTTTTTAATTCTTTTTTTTAAAAAGGGGGTTTTTTAATCAATATGGGCCAAATTTGTTTAATATACTTTTAAATTGTTTTAAATTTTATATTTTTATGTTTTTATTTTTGGCTGTACACTGCCCTGAGTCCTTCGGGAGAAGGGCGGTATATAAATTTAAATAAATAAATAAATAAATAAATAAATAAATAAATAAATAAATAAGGGTTTTTCAAAAACAGATCATGCCAAACAATCTTATTTCATTCCATGACAAAGTAACTAAATTAGTAGATCAGCAAAATGCTGTGGTCATGGTATACTTAGACTTCAGCAAGGCATTCAACAAAGTAGACCACAAGTTCTTCTTGGTAAACTAGAAAAATGTCTAGTTGCCACTAGATGAATTTATAACTGGCTGACAAACCGTACTCAATGAGTCATCCTTATAGGTATTACATCTATATGAAAAGAAGTAAGAACTACCACAAGGTTCCATTTTAGACCCAATATCTTCATAAATGACTTAGATGAGAGAATAGAGCAACTGATTAAAGGCCTGGAGACAAAAATATATGAAGAACAGTTGAAGGACTTGGGAACATGATAGCAGAATTCCAGTATTTGAGAGGTTGCCACAAAGAGAAGGGAGTCAACTTACTTTTCAAAGCACCAGAGGGCAGGACAAGACACAATGGATGGAAACTAATCAAGGAGAGAAGCAACCTGGAATTAAGGAGAAACTGCCTAACAGTGAGAACAATTAACTGGTGGAACAGCTTGCCCTCAGAAGTTGTGGAATTTTTATCACTGGAGGTTTTTAGAAGAGACTGGACAGTCACTTGTCTGAAATGGTATAGGGTCTCCTGTTTGAGCAGGGGGTTGGACTAGAAGACTTCGACCTCCAGCTCTAATCTGACTGATTGACTGAAATCATATATCAGATTTAAAAACCCATGAAAAAGATAACAAGTTCATCGAACATAAATCTAAATAATCATAAGAAAATTTTCTGCTTCATTAAGCTTGTTAAATTTTTAGCCAAATGCAACATTTGTGCATTTTTTTCTACCAGTTGTATAAACTGTCTAACAATGGGAGTTTCAGATAGCTGTACAAATGTGCAGAATTTTTTGTTGTTGTTTCCTGTGTTTTGGTGCATGAGAAAAGATCATAAAATGTTAAAATCAGTTAAATTTATCCATATTCATGGATCTTAATATTTTAATATTAGTGTTAACTAAGAACTTTCCAATCAATAAATACTATTCAATAAATACTGTTCAAATATGGCTTTGTCTAGCTAAGTAAAACATGCCAATTTCTACTTAGTTACACTCAAAGAATACAAAATCATTTGTCACCTTTCTTGAGAATAAGTCTTGTACTGAAATATTATATTAGCACATAATATATTTCAAAAATATATTCAAATGTGCAAAAAATGTTTAAGCCACCTTAAGTATTAACATACATCATACAAATTTGCACATACTTGATTTAATTATGCATTAAATCAATTTGCAAGAAAGACATGTTAAAGCTTTGAAGAACTGTGAAGAAGGACAGAGGAATTTTTTTTTAAAATCAAGTTCTAGGATATTATTGAAAGCACTAAAAATCAAGATTGTTAAAAATAAATGGTGGTTCATCTGATCATTAACTATTCAAATAGATATATTGTTGTTTCTGGTAACCCTTGGTGGACTTTTGCTGATCAGGAGTGAAAGCTGGAAATATTTGTTTATAGATAATAAATGGATTATGAGAAATGATGACTGGTTATATTTTAAGGAAAGGTGGTAAGTTCCTAAAATTGTTTATACTTGTGATGAAGGAAGAAGGAAACTATATCCTTGTTTTCTTTCTATTTTTCTGCACTGTTTCTTGTTTTTCTTTTTTGAATTAAATATTCAAAAAAATATTTTGAATTAAAATTTTAATAACATTACTATTAAAAATAAATAAATGATCAAATACTTAATTGTTTCCAGACTTTCATTCTGTTATGTTAGTAGTAATATTTTGTAAATTTAGGATTACTGTTGATGCATCACACAACCTGCAAAGCAGCAAAGATCACATGCACTAGTGTCAAAACTAGTCACCCTTACCGATTGTACTTTGTCTTTTACTTTCGATTTCTTCAAATCTGTTTGGCCTTTTAGGAATTGGTGGAGGAGGAGCACGTCTCTTTGGCTTTTTTACTTCAAGTTGCACTGAACTTTGAGACATCTGTAAAGACAGAAAAAATTATGTGGGCATATATTACATATTTTGTATATTTGAAGAAATTTTAATAAGTCAATATTTGAGCCTTTTGTTTTCAGTGCCATGTTCTACTAGAGACAAAGGCATTAAATAATCCTATACTCAAGCAGCTAGTACTTGAAAACATCCTTCTCTAAACTGGCAATAACATTACATTTCCAAGATTAACTATCCTCAGTAGAACTGCCTGCCGTGTATATCATCACTCCCCATCTAAAGTTATTGACCTTATTTATTATACAATATGTAAAAAAGAAATGTATTTTGTATATTCTAAACTTTAATAATCTCCCCTGGATTAACCATCCACATTTTCCATGTATACATGTTTTATAAACCTTGATCATATGTATACTCCTTAGTCATTTTTTAGTTGAAAACTCTCAATCAGCTTTTTCTCACATAGAAGGGATAATGATAATTCCACTATCATTTTATTTGCCTTCTTGCAATTTTTTTGGTTTTTCAGTTGTGATCATCAGAAGTGTATCCAGTATTTCATGGACAAAAGTATTTATTTGTTCAACTTGTATGCCGCCTTTCTCCAATATGCATATGCATAGGTATGCATATATCTATGTACCCATAGATATATGCATATATGGGATTTGCCAGGTTGACCAATTTATTTTCAGTCCTTTTCCTTCCTGGTTTGGAATTGTCTTTTTTACAACATCTGCAGTGAGTCAAAACATTCATCAAATCATCAATTATAACACTAGATTTCCTGCCCCGCCCCCCCAATCATTTACAAACATTTCAAATCTCATCAGGGAAGTGGTGAAATCCAAATTTTTTGTTCTGTGGGTGTGGCTTGGTGGGCAGGGGCGTGGCTTGGTGGGCATGGCAGGAGAAGGATACGGCAAAATCTCCATTCCCTCCCCAGTCCTGGGGGAAGGATATTGCAAAATCTCCATTCCCAACCCACTCTGAGACCAGACAGAGGTGATATTTGCTGGTTTTCCAAACTACTCAAAATGTCTGCTACCGGTTCTCCAAACTACTCAAAATTTCCACTACCAGTTCTCCAGAACCTGTCAGAACCTGCTGGATTTCATCCCTATATCAGGATATATGTAAAGATAGTGGGGGTTTGTCCTGATGTGCATGACTTTTACATTTGTTTAAACTGAATCATATTTAAAGGAAAATATTTGTACCTCAGGGTTGAAATGAGGGATCCTTGGTGCTCTCTGTGCTTGCTTGTTTTCTTGCAAACTGTCAGATGTAAATGCCTTATTCTCTAATGTGTAAATAATATATGAACGGGGTATCAGGGGTTAACTTATTCTTCACTTCTTAATGTATTCATAATTCACCACTCCCACTTATAGCTCCACCCATTGTATATATAAGGAGCCACCTACACCTTTTTCCTTGCTTCTATCTGTGAATATTCAGTGAATATAGAATGCCTATTGTAAATAAAAGGAAATATATTTAAACCTTTAACTCTTACTAATATTATTGAGTCTGATCCTGAAAATATTGCAACAAGCTGGTAGCAGAGGATGGTTAATTGACTCAATAAAAAACTTAAAAATGTCTAAGAAAGATAGGCCCAACACCAGGGCCTACAGCAAAGAAATGGAAACAGAACAAGAAATAATCAACGAATCCACAAACGCAATTTCGAGAGAATCCGAAGAATACACCACTGAAGACGAAGAAATAATAGATGAAATTGATGACCAGAAGGAAATCGAAATAGAGAATAACGAACTCAGGTCAGAGATATTAAAACTATTAAAGAGCCAGAAGAATGATGAAAGCCTCATCGCGAAACTCCAAGATATGCTGAAGAACAGCGGAGCAGCGAGAGAGAAAAACATCACTAATGAAAAGTCTAAAGACCCAAAAATAGTGAGTGATATGACTGCAGAGAAAGTCATTACGAAGAAGAAAAACGGTGATCCCGCGCGAAATTTTGAATGGCAGCCATCTTGGTTTCAACAGGCCTCCAGGGTGAGCGAAGCAGAGCCAATCAAAATGCTCAATTCAAAATTTCTGGCGCGAAAAACGTTATCAAACAACGAAAATGAAAAAGAAGATTCAAACTCCTCAGAAGAATCAGAATCAGAAAGTGAAGATGATTCAACAAACTCCCAAATAAAATCAGCAATGAAAACCCTTTTTGCTGCATTTGGGCCAAAACTAAAAATTAACAAACAGCTACCGAAGAAGCGAGCGAGCAAGCCGATGCCTCAAGACCTGCCCGCTCCCATCCTGACTACGAGAACGCCGACGCCCGAACCCAGAGAGCCCTGCCGGTACCGCCCTACGCCACAGACCGAAGCAAGCACCAAAGCCCTCAGGGGAAGAGGAAGAGCAGCCGCCGTCGTCAAGACTCCCAAAATCGAACCAGAGACCGATTCATCTGAAGAGGAGCAGAACGAGCGAGCCACAATGGAGAGAACCTTCCACGACGTCTCCAAAGAAGAAATGGACAACGCGCATGCGCAGAACTACGCAGACGGTCCGGGAAGACATGAACTGGCGAGGAGACCATGCAGACTCGTTGCGAGCATCCCCATGCCGTTTTGCAATTTTCTACACTTGCGAGACCACGGACTACCTCAGGTTGTAAGTAATGGACACAATAATGTCGGAAATTTACCCAGTGACTTCCCAAAGCTAAGGGTTGATGGCGTTAATTTGCAAGAATGGTATCAACAGCTCCAGGTTGTCTTTATGAAGGAAAACTTATTATTTTTTATCACAAGTCCCCCAAAAAGACCTTGGACTCTAAAAATAGATTGTTTACACCATAGAGCATTTTTCTTAATAATATCTAGTGTGTCTCCTGCAATGTATCATAGCATTAAGCCAAATCTGACTGTTTCAGAAATCATTCAATGCATGTTTAATTTGTTTCACAGTGACAGTGTAGCTACCACCACAAGGATGTCTAAAGATTTCTTTTCATCTAGGGTAAAACCAGGGGTTTCCATAAGTGAGCATTTAATATATTTAAACAAAATAAGAGCTGAGCTGCATTTGAGGGGGGAGGTGATTTCAGACCAAACAATGAAAAGTGTTATTATCAACTCACTTGATTCATCATGGGACAATTTTATGTCACATTTAGACACTATCAATCTAGGATATTTATCCATAGAAAGTCTATCCAATAAATTGATAGCAGAAGACAATTCAAGAAGGAATCGTTCTAGCAATCACACAGAACACAAACCATATAGGAAAGTAGCTTTCCAAGAAAAATATAATGAAACATTTAAATGCCACAATTGTAGATCCAGGGAACACAATAGAAGAGACTGTCCCAAAATTTCAAGAGAAAGGCATAGGTCAGAATATAGAAACAAATACAATTATAGACAGTCTTCCATAGATAGACATAGATATAGGAGCCCACCAAATTACAAAGAGAATAGAAGGGGCAGAGATAATTCAAAGGATAGAAAATCTGGCTCACTGAACGGGCTAAATAAACAAGACAACACTAACATACAGCAAAATGAGAACAATAATTGGCTTATTGATTCTGGAGCAACTAATCACACCACTAATAACAAAAATATATTGTCTTCATTTGCAGAAGATAAATTTGTAATAAAGGTAGCTAACCAAGAAAAGGTGCAAGTATTAGGTAGAGGGAATGTAACCTTGCCTGGTCTAGGAAAAATAGAGGGGGTATTGCTAATACCTGAGATACCTCATAACATACTAAGTGCTATAAAACTAAGTAGAGATTCTGACATTAACATTGTTTTTTCAAAAGGAAAAGCGATTTTGGAGAAGAATAAAATAAATATAGGCACAGTGATGATTAAAGGAGGCCTACCTTATCTGATAACTAAGGAAAAATGGTTGCATAACATTGACTCAAATATGGAAGATTGTATTGAAGTAGATGATGAAAATATTAGCAATAGTGACAATGATGAGTGTAAAACATCTCATGATCACAAAGATGCACACAATGAAAAAAAAAAAATAGGTAAGCCAATTCATGATGAGTGTGCTCACATCTTACATAGGAAGTTAGGACATGCCAGTTTTCCTGTAGTACAAAAAATGACTGAACACGCAGAAGGTGTTAAAATAAAAAATTGTGAAAACTATTTGGAATGCTCAGTATGTAAATCTACAAAACTAAAAGCTAGCCCCAGGCCAAGAAAATCTACTAGATCAACTAACAAAATTTTTGATTTAGTACACATGGACTTAGTTGGTCCATTAACTCCATCAATCACTTATAGAAAACGTTACTTCCTGACAATAGTGGACGATTATAGCCGCTATGGGTTTGTTTATACATTAAAACACAAAGATGAAACATTTCAAAAATTTAAAGAATTTTACAAACGCATAGAAACACAACACAACATCAAAATAAAACAAATTATGACAGATAGGGGATGCGAATTCATGTCTAAAGAATTCTCCCAATGGTTAAAAGACAAAGGAATGTTACATTACACATCTAGTCCATTTTCTGCGTTCCAGAACGGGATTGCAGAGAGGAAAAATTCCACATTACAAACCATGATTAGATGCACATTGGAAGATGCTGGCTTAAGCAAACAATTCTGGTCAGAAGCCTTACATTATTCAAATTACACACAAAATAGAACATGGTCCAGCATTGTAAATAAGACACCATATGAAGTGATGTATAATAGAAAACCAAAATTAGCACACATGCATATATTTGGAGTCACTGCAGACGTACACATACCTAAACAATTAAGAAGAAAGGGAGAAAACGTATCCAGAAGACTCAGATTTATGGGATATGAAACCGGTACTAAAGGGTACAGATTCATTGATAACAATAACAAATTTATAGTCTCCAGAACAGCTGTGTTCCATGAACAGGCTAACTGGTCTAAATTACATCTTAATGAAATATTTCCAAATAAATATAAAGGTACAAAATCTCATGAAGAAGGGATCATAGAAAAGCAAAATATCAACAAAAATAAGAACAAAACCAAAAT